CATTGCTATGTCTTAGGGCAGGACCATAGACCCAAGCTCAACAGCAAACTGTTAAAAATTTTATTCTAGTGTTTATAAATATTTTTAAATGTTTTTTTTTGCTTCGCTTATAATTAAACTATAAAAAATGAGCTTAGCGAAATCACAAACAAACTATATTAACGTCTTTAAAAAATTTCAAATGTTAACCAATACTTTTATCACAATTATTTCACGTTGGTTTCTTTTAATTTTTAATAAAACTAGAATGAAATGTTTTATGTGTTTTTATTTGGATGGCAAAGTTGATGTTCGGATTTGACACTCTAGAAGAATCTGGTCACTGTACGTATACTTAAAAATACTTAAATACATATATTAATCCAAATTGCATGAATTGTATGTTTAAATGCCATTCACATTTGGAGGGTGTAGCAAAGCGCGCTGTGTTAGCTCATTTACTGTATACATACAGTAAAAAATAATGCATGTATGTACATTGTACATATGTTTGGCTATGTTTATTCGTTATGTAAAATTTACATTTGCAAGCGAGTTCATACATAAGAATATCTATGCAAATCAAAAAAAGAAATTACAACTTAAAATGCTAAATGTATTTCAGAGCTAGGCGCCTAAAAGTATGCTCGGGCGCTGATCATATCCGGTTAAATTTGCTACAGTACAAATAAAATTTGATTTAGCAAAGTGTAGAACCAATGTAAGTACCCTGCAGTGAATAGCCAAACCAGTCAGTAAAAACACTAGTTCATTAACTAGTATAAGCTAAAGCAATGGCCTACCAGTTCGACAATTTCGTGGAACTTAAGCGCTCAGAGATATCTGCCCTTGAATTGGCAAGGCCAAAAATAAATCGCAATTAATACCCTTTCTTACAAATGTCGGCTTTGCTCTGGCGTTGCGTGAAGACTACCGGTTCTGGTTCTGAGATCGCAGGTTCGAGTCCGCTTGGAGGTGGTTAAGAGTTTTCAAATTAAACCAATGTTATTCAATTAATTATTTCATTTTAAATATAAATAACAAATTTGAAAATCGAATTTCATTGCAGAAAATCATACAAAAATTACAATAAAAACCCTAAATAAAAAAATAAATAAATAAAAGAAAATAAAAAAATAAAAATAAACAAAATACTTGCTCCAGGACTGGAACCTCGGACCTCGGGAATACCACACCAGTGCTTTGCTCCGTCGGCCATTGAGACTGTTGGAGCGCCGCTAGCGAAATGGAATATGTATGCTTTTCACGGGGGATGAATTGGCAGTCTATCTCATCAACTGGTATTATGCTACTAGCATTTCTACTAGCAGATGCTGATGCATAGCCTGATAATTGACATCTTGTAGGACATCGCCATGTCGCTAGCATTAAAAAAGGATAGAACGTGAATTAGTTGGGCTGAAACCAGGGATGAAAAAGTAGGTACAATTGTACCTTTTTCCGACGTTTCATGACTTAAAGGTACATTAGGTACAGTTACTAGATTTTAGGTACAATCATCTTTTGATCAGATGCATGTTTATTTATTTTTTCCTTTTCATTTACCGTGCTAATATATTTACTTGTAGGCATGGGAGAAGCTTCGCTTTCATTTTGCAGAATAAACAATTCTAAAGAAAAGTAGACAAAAGGAAGAAATTAAAAAAGTAATATTATTTTAAACATTTTACATTGAATTTAGAGCAGCCACTACGAAAAATTAACACTTTACTTAGCTATCCGCAAATTGGTAATTTTTTTCTATTAATTTTAACGCTTATTTTATACTTATACTAAGTCAAATTCAATAGTATTTGTGGTTAAATGAGTGAAAACAAATTATCAAATGGAACTAAAAAATGGTATTTCGATTGACTTAGATCAGAATAGGCCTTCAGGCGGGTACATGCGCTGATAAAGCGGCTATTTGAAAGTTTTTGGCCCATAATATCATCGATAAAGGATATAGGGAAAAAAGCTGTGTCAAAATATGTCGACAAATTTTGTTGTCAAAATATGACATAATGAAAACCAGCCTTTAATCACCCGTACAGTCCAGTGTCTAGGATGTCTTCAAATTTCATATTTTCTTTAGACGAGAACTATAGCTATTTGACCCATATCCGGTTTTTGATTTCTGGAAATATATTTAAAATGCTTTCGAAGTTACTTACGGCAATTTGATTATTTTCTCTAGACTTGCTCGGATAAATTAGCAGACTTTTCCTGTTGTTTTATAAAAAACTGGATAAGAAGTATACTTCGCAAAGTGTGTTTTTTGTCTTTTTCGCCAATATTTTTCAGTAGTCAAAATTAGACAAAACAACGCTTCTCCGATTCCCATTAGACTATAGTCTATAGATATATGCTCAGTTAAAAAAAAAATATCCTAATCATGTTTAAAGTACATCCATCTTTTATATTCATGTTTTAAGTAAAATTTATAAAAAAAAAACTACGAGTGAATGATGTAACTATTTATAGGTACAATCTGTCTCATTTAGGTACATTTATTTTATGATATTAGGTACAATCTGAAATTTCCATTTTTCATCCCTGGCTGTAACGCGAACTGGTAGCATTCTAGTTCACAACTAGCAGCTTTCCCTGCAGGGTACATAGTATGTATGTATATATGTATGTGTATAGATGCATTTACACTAAACAAAATACAATTTATGCATATGTACGTATTGAAAACGTCGTTTTAAAATTTTGTCATTGATTATCGTTGAGATGTTGCATTGTTTGTTTTTGAAAAAAATATATGTTATGGACTCGCCTTTGTGCACCAAAAAAATTTAAAGTTTTGGTTAAATTTTACAGAAGTTTCCCTTTCATTTGGTATTCTACAGTGCACTGAATTTTTTAAATAATTTTAAAAACTAATGATATCTTTGAAACTATAAAGTCCTTTTAAAAAAATCTTGACGTCAGAGAGCAAAAATAAAAAACGCAGTTTTACTATATTTAGCCCATTGTTTCTTGAGTATACTGATTGCTTCGTGTGTTTAAAATTTTTTTTTGCTCGGTGTAATTATAATTATTAATTAATTAATTAATTAATCGATAATAAAAATTATAAAAATGCAAAATGTATTAAAAAAAATGTTCAACATTCTAGTCAGAATTAAAAAAAAAATGCGAGATACGCAGTTTTATATCCCTTTAAATTATAGTAGGTACGGTAAAGTGCAAAATTCTAGTGGCTAAAAATTATAGTACTCGGCGACGGATCTCTCTCCCTCCACAAATCCAACACACAGTGGGATAAATCACGAAAAAGCTGGCCATACAGTAAAAATTAACCTCGAGGCTTCAGATTTGGAACACAAGCCCCTTTAGTGAATATTAGTAAAAGGTATTATTATAAACAAAATCCGCCCACAAATGCGCCTACTTCCAATATAACGGTACTTTTTAAAAACACAAAGTGTTATATTTGGGAGGCTCTAGCAAAGAAATAAAAGGTGATAGGATCTTCCACTTACGCTTAAATTAAAGCTAGAACTCTTGACTACTGTCTCTGAAAATACCATTCCCAAACCTTAACCTGATGGTCACTTATAGTTAGTTATTGAACAGCAGAAACTGACTTTAACAACATTTTTTCCCAATATTTTTTTGTTGTTCAACATATGACTATAAGTGACCAACAGGTTAAAGTGCAGGGATTTCAGGGACAGATGTCGAGAGTTCTGGCTTTAATATAAGCCCCTTCTTGACAAATTACAATGTTTTGCAACAGTCGGACAACTTTGGTTTTTGGAATATTGGCCGGCTTTTTCGTAATTTCTCCCACTGTGCAACACCGAATTTGGCGCAAGGCCCCAGAAATTTCCTGCCTTTCCCTATCCAATGCATTTCTTGGATGGCGATGATATCAGCTTTTGTCTTTACGAGGACAGCAACCAGCCGGGTAGAGCCACCTTTCCCATTAAGGGTCTGGACATTCCACGTACATGCCTTCAAACCGTAGTTCTTTAAGCTTTTGCTATTAGAAGTCATCGAAAGAGGAGTCTCATCCGAGGCTTTATTTTGCTTCTTCACTGAAGGGAGTTTTTACGTGGCGGGTCCCAAATCCAGCGCACAACCCAATGCAGGGAGGGAGGTTGTTTATATAGCCAGCCGCTTTCAGCCACACCTACTGCCGAACAAACGCTGCAAGATTTCAGTTAGCCCTAAGCCGAAAAAGTCGGAGGGGCTCTACCGAAGCTCCCTCTCTTTCTACCGAGACGCAAGGCCGCACTCGTATTGGTTATCGTATCTCGCACATGAGTTGCTCACGTTGCCCAGAGTGCCCTCCAATCCTTTTCGTAAATGTCCCCACGCGATCTTGTTTAGAATAGTTCTCTCGAAAACTCCCAACTCAACGCAAATACTGCGACGAAATATAAGAGTACGGTCATGAAAAGGGATGAAATTATTAACTCTTTTCAATTCCAACCGCATTTTAGACCCTCCAACATCAGACTGAGTATTCATTTGTGTTCAAACTGATCAAAAAGTTATCATAAAAATGTCCTCATATTGAGTAGTTTCCTCTTAATTGTGATCTTTTATTTAAGGGTTGAAAATATGCTTACCTGTATTTCAATAAGAAAAGGCGAGGAAGAATATTTGTATATATGTATGTTTTTATATTTTTTAGATATTCTAAAATTTTTACTAAATAAGCAATATTTATGCGAGTATCTTTACAAATCTATAGTCAATTCAGCAAATAAAAGGCTATTTTAACTACATTATATGTAGACATAAATAGAATAAGGACATGCGTGGGAACGATTGCCCATACAAATACGTTCAACTAAGAACTACTACATATAAAGAAAAATTACAACTACTGAACTAACTAGTTACATTACATTACATAACTAAGAACTATTTGAGCCTAAGGCACTTCAATACTTCATCATTAAATCGTATACTTTCGTAGCACGATCAATATGCAGTCATACATATTTTTTCAAATCCTTAATCGCTTATATACATACGTAAATCTACCCTTTGGAATTTAGTTTTTTTCAACGCCCACATTCATACTACTCCACCCACATCTCACTCAATGTCGCTTCAGTGCCTTGCGCTGACGTTGATAGAACTCCTCCATTGCGCGATACTCTGGCTCATAAACGTCCGGTATCTCCTTATTCAACGATTCGTAGTAGACCATCTGAACCGAACAAGTGCCTCTTAACTGCTCCTCATAGCGGCGCAGCTGTTGGAAAAATCCTGTGTTCGGCCGTATCTGTGGACGAATGGCCTTGACGTGGTGGTAAGCGGTACGAAGCGTCATACCGCCATACTTCATCAAATATGCCAAGCATAGCGTAGCCGATCGGCTTACACCCGCCACGCAGTGTACCAGCGATTTGCCGCCCAGCTGGCGCACCTCCTCAATCATATCGGCCACCTCGTCAAAGTACAGTGAAAGGTCAGAGTCGGGCCGATCGTAGACATTGATGCGCAAGTAGAGTGGCTTGGTGACGCTGGAGAGCGGAGTGTCGGGCAGCTCTGGTGCTACGTTAATGATGAAACGCACCTGCAGTTGATCGAGCACCATGGGCATTGCAACGCCTGCACCGCACAGATAAAGACTGGGCAGCAATTGTGATATGCCTGGAAACGGGGTGTGCGAGTGGTGGCAAGTGTGCAACGAGCTGGAAGAAGAGAGTGAAAAAGAGAAAAGTTAATCCAACGGATTGTCGTGGAAATGTTATTAGCTACATACATATTAAAAAAATATTCTAAGACAAAAATCTGAACGATTTAACGGTTTCATTAATACATTCACTGTGTGTCTCTTCCCATATAATACATATATACATATGTACATTTGTGCATATTTTCTTATATGAAATAATTTTTATTGGCTTGTAAACAAAATATCTCAGTGTATATTTTTGTTTGGGTTCATAGTGTCAAATAATTTGTTGACAGCAATTCAAATCGGTTTGGCGCCAAAGAGTTACATATACAAAAAATATTTAATATCGTCCACGAATTCATAGATCAACATCTGTATGTGAATACATGTTTACTTACTAAAAGTGTTGCATAATGGACATAAATATGTTCCTAGCAAAAACAACCTTTCGAAACTTGGTGAGAACACAACCGTTTATTAATAGAACCTGACAGTAAACAAGTTCAAGATAGCATCTCTTAAATACATATGTACATATGTACATACATACATACGCACATATGTATATTTGTGTTTTGGGAAGAAGGGATACTAAATACCAAAGACTATAAGCCACTGTTAAATATGCAGATTCACCCCCAGAACAGGACTACCATTAAAACTCCTTTTGAAAGTGATATATTCGATGTTTTCGATGTTTTTCACTATTAACAAGGCCCTTAAGTATTCGTGAGCAATTTATCTGATGCGGACTAGAGATGCCGTTTTTAAATCGATCAAATCGAAGACCAAATAATCGCGCCTTTCCGATTCGATTTTTTGTCGATTTTTTAGTTCCGATTCGATCAATGAATCGATTCAAAAAATTCGAGAATCGACAATCGATTTTTCCTCAATTGATACGGTTTACCTCAGAAAATCTATAAAATTTTAAAGACATTTTAATTAGAGGCCTCTCTTTCTCATCCGACTAAAAAGTTCCTCGAGGAGGCCTCTGTTGCTCGTTGTTGTTGTTGTTTTAGCAGCTACAACAACCCCGCCCAGATCGGCTAGTCTCTCAATCGTTGTCGTCAAGCTCAACTAACCGAATACCCAAGAAACGTGCAGCTTCTATAGGGTTCGTGCATAGGGGCGTATGTAGGTGTAGTTGAGTAGGCATGCGAAGATATGTCTCGAGTCGTGGGGTGTGGCTACGTGGGCGCTGTCTTTCTAACTTGTGCTCATTAGTTTTCCCCATAGGACTTCTATTATAATAATAACCACATTCATATGTTTATATGTTTGTATGTATGTAGAACTTGTGTTCATTTCGGGAAACGAAAAAAATATATATATATGTATATATTTTCCTGTGCGAATAATAATTCAGGCTATCAAAAAAATAAACAAAAAATACAAATAATTCATTTCGAAAAATCATGTGGTCAAAGAGTGACGTTTAATGCGTGGGAAGAAATTACGGCGCCATAAAATGTTTCCCACATAAGTATATGACGTAGAAATGGAAATAAAATACGTACATATGTACATTCAAAGCAACTAAACCAACGCTAAATAAAACAGTTTACGCTGCCAATACTAGTCTATATTTAAAGCTTCATTAAGGCTATTTTCGAAGGTATGCAAAATATGTATGCATGCCGAAAGAAGCTTATGTAAACAAATAAACAGTGCTTAGGAAAAATTATAAACAAAAATTTAAAATATCGTTTCGTAAACCCAAAACTACCAAATTCTGGAGCTTATAGTTAATTTTCATTGTTTTCCGGCCACATAGTAATTATCATTTGCAAGCGTATAAAAATATACTTACTTGAGTACCTACATGTGTGCATTAGGATGCATCACTGTCCATACAAAAGTCGGCACTGTTTTTTCATCGGAAATATAAAATCTATTATCTTTTAGGATCTCTGCCACAATATTTCGGAAAAACATTAAGATTTACGTGAGCTGGTTCTATTTACAAATACCTCAAAAAAAAATTTATTTATAATTAAATTTAATTTTAAAAAATATTTTTTCTAATGGTGATTTCGTTTCCAAAAAAAGTTGCCTTTTGTTTGCCCCTTTCTCTTTTCGCGTTCGATTCTATGTAAATTCAAGGCAAAGGGTGAGAAAATTCGATGTTCGTTTCTTAAAATGTCACACTTTTTTAAAGCAAAAAAGGCACATTCTCTACCCTGTGAAGCTTTGTTAGGGGAGATGGTTGCCCTGAAAATCAGGTGGTTGTTTAAAGCGACAATATTATGAAATGCGTAAGCTAGACAAAGACAAGAAGGCAAAAACATGCCTTTTTATAGGGTTGAGTGTAACACCAAACACATTTTGCACCGAGGAAGGGCAACATTTTTTGGAAGAAATAAAATCACCTGATGTGATAGAGAAGTTTAAGAGAGGAAGGTCTGTATAAAAATGGTACAAAAGTTTTATCAACGGAATGAAAATAATTAAATTTTTGGAGGTATTTTCAAATTGGTGGAAAACCGCAATTGTGTTGTGATGCACCCTAATATATATACACATATGCGTATATAAATTGAGTTGTTTACACCTTCGATTGCTTCCTTTTTTTAGCAGAAAGAGAGAGGGAGGATTTTTGAATGAAAAGTGAATTATTCACAATTTTGCTCTGATATTCCATCATTCCTTTTAATATTTTTGAGTTTACTTCGCTAACTGACGTCACCGAGGTATTTTTGTTTATTTCTGTGTATAGAGAGACAATATGCTTTTCAGGTACTTAGTTATGTATATTTGTACGCAGTTCCTTACACAAAAAAAAAATACATTTGGGATAGATTTTTGGCTCTGTTGTCGGACTTAATTTTGTTTTGTTTTTTTTATTTTTCATAAAGTTTTCTGTTTTTATCCAAATAGAACTAAAAATAAGGGGCACTTCATTTATCTAAATTTTTGGGTGAGCGTAAATATAATTTTATTGGCGACAATACCGGAAGTGTCTGAGGATTTAATGGAGCACTCGTTACTTAGATATACATACATATGTACATATATGTAGTTCAGGAAGTATAGACCAGTATAATCAGTTTTAACTGTAGTGGCTGAAGGTGAAAACATTCCCTGCCTTAGGAAACATAAAGCGAGCGGCAGCTTTGAATACGTCATACATTTTTCAAAGTTCCAATACAAAGTAGCACCGCGTTTGCCACTAGCGGAATCTCACGAAACAGTTTCTTCATGATCCTAAAGAGCTTTAAAGCACTAAAAATAGTGACGTTTGTCTCAGTGGACCTTGTGGTTTTCAATATTATCTGTCTTAAAAATTTAAGAATATCGCAAAGTCTTTGCTTCAAAGGACAGACTGGGATTGAATCGCTAAGATGTATCTGTGGGCGTCTTAAATCTGAAATGTTGTACTTGGTAATTTTATTGATTTGCGGTGTATTTAAAGTGTGCCAGAAGGTTTAGCAAAATTTCTATTTTTTTCGCAAGCTATTGCTAATTAAACTTTTGACTCACCTTGACAAACTAGATGTGTGATGTAAGTTTCGCTTCTCCAGTGTAGCCCAGGCCGTTTTTATATACCTTTTTTATACAAACGCTAAATAATTCATTTGTCCCCAAGCGGGATTTTTATAAATGACTTGCCCGGATAAAGTGCCTGAATTTCGCGCACTTTGCTCGGCTCTTATATTCGAGAATTACTGTATAAGAATTATTGAGAACTAGATTGCGACCACCCGCTTCGCTGACTCTATGAAGTCAAAACCAAAGGAGTTTTTAAAAAAATATGCTTAGCCCTCTTCACAATATTTTCAAACTAAAACCTTCTCAAACCTCTTTGTGACAGGTAAAATTTCTCTTGCTTTATTCCCTAAATTTAAGCCTAAGTTGAGCTTTTAAACAAGAAAAAAACCTCCTACTTGTAGTTTAGAAATAAAGATTTTTCAAAACCAATTAAATTGATGCCCATATTATAATAATTCATTCAAATTAATAAATAATTTTATACTACACATTTCAAAACCCTAATTTCCTTCATTCCAGTAAAATCAGGTTTTTCAAACAGGCGGCAACTTTCCTGCATATAGTTTACAAATAAACTCTTTTCAACCCCATTTCGATTGATACCCATATTTTAATAATTTATTTAAATGAATTGAATTTAATTTTTAAACAGGTGGCAACCCTTGTAAAACACCTCAATAATATTCTAAATGTGCAAACTAAAGTTTTTTAATCTCTTTTAAATTTGTCATAGATTGCAAATAATTATTTTAAATTCAACTTTTGAAACGCTTTTCAAAATATTTTCAAACTAAAACGTTTCAAAGCCTCTTTAGTATGACTATAATATTGTAATTGACATTTTATGTTGAATTTGATTTTTTAAACAGATAGCACAGAATGAAGGCATGGCGTGAACAATGAAGATATCTGATGTGGCGGCTCTCGGAGTTTTTGAGAGAAAGCTTCTGCGAGCTTTAGAGCGATTAAACTACAGCGGTTTGGCCATGTCGAGCGAATGGACACAAATGCCACAGCTATGAAATTATTCAACGCGGGTCGCGATGCTGGTAACAGATTAAAAGGAAGGCGTCCTCTGCGTTGGAAAGACCAGGTTAAGAAGGACTTGGCTTCTCTTGGAACTTGAAATTGTCGTCAGTTGACGTGCTTTCTTGGACTGGGCCAGAATCACTTGGGCGGTCTCAGCTCCAATAAAAAGGAAAAATTCGTATCATTTTCATAGTTCAGGCCCTGAAATTAACCATTTAGGGAAGCACGAGTTAGCTTTCGTTTGAAAGAGACATACATATGTACATATCATTCAGTTTTATACTGAAAATCGCTAGCTAATTAGCGAGTAGAAGTGTATTCCTCAGGTTAAAAGTTTGCCGCCCGTTCAGCAGATATTTTAGTTTTCTATAGTAATTTATTTTCTGGCCAATTTTCGTCGTATATTTTACTAATTAAAGCTTCTTTGGCCTAGTTGATTGGTAAAAGTAAAACAAACGTTTTTCCTCACTGCTTTGCCCTACGTTTCGCTAA